AAGCATTGGAGAGTCATTTTGGGCATTTGACTATATTTATTTTGGAGGGAAACTGATTTCTTCTTTTTTTAATCGTCAAATCAACGCGTCTACTGCACTACCATTTTTCTTGACGAAAAACTTGAGAATTGCAGTTTAGTCCACAATCACTGGAAGTGATGTGCATATTTTCAAATAATAAAGGGACATCTGTTCAAGTTACAAACTAAAAGAAGGAAAACTGAATTTTGCCCTAAATTGTTATATGCATTTGGAATTCATCATATCATATATAATAGACGGAAGAAGGGTATGTAACTGGCCAGGACACTTGTTAGGTTTTCAAAAATCAATTATTAGGTTCTACTTCAAGGTCGGCAAACCACGAAGACAAATATGTTTAGTCAATTGATTACATACGTCGTGTCGTGTCCTCTTCCTCTTAGTTAAGAATGGAACTAACTAGCACGTGAATTGTGAATTCCAAACATAAATAATTTTTTTGAGTCTGCCTGCCACATGTATCGTTTGTTTTGCCAATTTTTATTATATTCTTTATAAACCACTATATATATTTTTAAGGTGATTACTTGGATGGTCATTAATTTATTATTTATATCACTTTTAAATAATAATAAAAATGAACTATAAAATATAGACATTTTAAATTTAAATATTATTAATTTTTTAAGGTCAGGTCATGAAAAATTTATCCCTTATAAATACGCTACTCTTGACGCGGATAGTTTATCTTTGACTAAAGCTGAAAAAAAAATTAATTAAAATATGTGTAAACTGACCTATACACTTATTTCTGACCGACTATTGAAAAAAAAAATGTATTAAAAAAAATGGGAATTACGAAACGTATCGGAATAAGGATATAGAGTATTCATTTTCAAACATGAGAAGTCGGGTAATGACCGGGAACGAAATGTTATTTTGATGTTCTGGTATGTTTGAAAATCTTCCTTGAAGTAACTTCGATTTCCATGATTTAAAAATAGGGAGAATTTTATTTTATATTCTAAAAGATTTAAATTTTTTTATTTTATACCATCAAAAATAAGTTTTTTTACATTGTATCCTTTCATGCATTAAAAGTGTTACAATGTAATTCTTCCGTTGCTTATTCTTTCGAAATTCACCTCATTAATATTGACGAAATGACTAACGAAAACTAACAAAATGGCTCTATTGAAACGCTTTGAATATAGAGGGTATAGGGTAAAAAATTTAATTTTTAAAAAAATAAAGTAAAAATTCTTAAATCTTTTAGAAAAATTTTAATCACACCCCTCTTAATTTATCATGTCTTTAATGACATCTCCTCTATTTTTTGAATCTTCAATGACACCATTGTTAGATTAAAAGACTTAATTAGAATGTAATTTTACTAAATTGTCTATATATTTTAGGAAAAACTTCATTTACACTCTCTCTAAATAGACATATGTTCAATAAAGACCCCCTCTATTTTTAAAATATTTGTGCGCATTAAAATTTAAGCCAATTAAAATTTGATTCAAGTTAATTAAAATTTAAGTCAGTTAAAAATTATATTTTTTTAAGTATTAAAATTTGAGCCGATTAAAATTCTATTCGAGACTCCAATCAAATTTTTATCTGCTTGTATTAAATTTTAATCAATTTGAAGTAGAGCTCAAATTTTAATATGTAGAAAAAAAAAATTTAGTTAGCTCAAATTTTAATATTTAGAAAAATAAATTTTAATCAACTTAAATTTTAATTGAATTTTATGTAGAAAAATTGTTTAGAGTTTATGTAGGGGCAAATTTATTATTTTAGATAATTTATTTTTATTATAAATGGTGGTTTAATAACAAAGGGGATGAGTGATGTGTAATGGAATTATGGTAAAACAGAAAGAATATGACTGAAATTTTTTCCAATCTTTTAAGGTATAAAGTGTAATTTGCCCTTAAAAATATATCTTTTAGCTTTCAAGGTTTATTTTTAAATATATCTTAAAATTTGTTCACCTTCCGTTTAATACAGATTAAACCACCATTACCTCTAGTTTACTTGTAAATTAAACACATCATCCCAGCATACTAAAACACCTCCACGCGCTTAGCAAAATGAAAACATAAATCTGTGGTACACTCAGTCCCAAGTAGCTTAGGTCCCACGTTATCTGGACCCACATATGCAGCACTTTCATAAACCGTGTAATACACGCTCTTATAAGACGTGTAAAGTCCACATGCCAACAGATACAGCCCAATCCTTGCAAAAAAAGTCTTCGGGAGAGTAGCGTTAATCGTTTCAAGATAAGATAAAGCAGCTCAATTCACACACGCATTACTCATAATATTTTCTCTCCATCCAAACAACATAAAGGAAAATTTATAATAGTGAGCTTTCTCTGATCTCTGATCGGAACACCACCGCCGCGTCTTCTCTCTCCNTTTTCCTCTCTGGTGTATTTTGAACTCTGAAAAGTTCGCCCGGGCTTTGTCTGACATCAAAAACTGTTGTAGTATATTCTTGGTTGTACTTTTCTGGGGATCTGCTCATGACTGGTTATGGTTAGCTAGTTCTATAAGTATCCCCGCTTGGACAAGGGTCTGAGGGTAGTGCTTTGTCCTTTAGGTCTTTATGGTGAACTTTGCTTATTAAGGAGGAACAGAAAATAAAACTTGTCTATTAGAAGTCTGTATTGTCTGTAATCAAGTCTATTAGCGCATCTTTTATCTACTACTTTATGCTTACAGTACTATAATGATCATTTTCAAGTTTCTAATTCTATTTATGTACCCCGTCTTCCTTTATTTAAGATTTGCTAACTAATCCCCTTGTTAATTTCTGAATGCTGCAGGCTGGAAACTCTTGTGAAGGTGGTCAAATGGTTGGGTTATGAAACAGAGATCAAGCAGCATGAATGTTCTTTTGGTAGGTGCTGCGTTGACCAATATACGAGCTTGGCTGGATATTGACACGGAGCTGTGGATAGTTGTTTCTCAAAAGAATTTACTAGAAAATGTGGATATGGCTGCTTTATTAAGTAGAGTAGTGAACTGGTTAAGCTTTTCAAGAAGTAATGTTTGATTAGATATCACTTAAAGCAGGAAGATGCCCTTCTGTTTCTACATGTCCCATTTTGTCTCAATGCCATATGTTACTATTTGTGCATTTGGATATGTAGGAATTGAACCATATTGGCATTACAACTTGCGTTTTTGCCTTCTTGAAGTGGCTTATGTTTCTGATTGATACAATCAGTCTTTTTCACTTGGGTTGGGCTAAAAGCTGCTGCCCTTTTCACTTGGATACTTGGTGAGCATCTTAATTTCCATTTTGTTGCGCCAGAATGATTTGAGAACCGAAAGATAGCAGGGTATTCTACTTCAATGGATAAGGAGCATAAAGAAAGAGAATAATTGTCGCCTTTCTCCCAGGACTGGACTGGTAGTGGGGCAAGAAACAAGAAGGTGATGCCCTGCCCTGCGGCCTGCTTTCGCAATCATAGAAAATGTTACGTGTGGTCCAAACGGTGCATTGAATTGCATCTGGTTGTGATGCGATTATTTTGGTTTCAGTGATCATCGGTCCTTTGATGTCGTTTGCACTTTTTCGATAGCACTTCTAAGGATGGAGCTTGCCCTTGCAAACCTTCCAATTGAATGATAACGTAGTTTGATCACCATTTCATAGAAGTTCTTTTCTGTGGAAACAGATACCAGACTGGTGACCTTCACCAAACTTTTGGCTTTCGGGTTGTGATGAGTTTAGTTTGAAGTAGGAGTCAGTAGTGTCTGGGTAGACGCTAGAACAAAATTACAGGTCATTTCAGTTCGGGCTGAATTGCAACACTTGCACCAGGGTTTCTGGGGTTGCTCGAAAAGAAAAATGCCCTTAGACATGAACCTGGGGGGCCTTGTGGTATGCAACTATTGAGCATTGAGGCTGTTTTGCTGTAACAGCATCAAAATGACAAGGGTTACAATCAAGGGGGAGAGGCTAAGTTGTGCGCTTCATTATTCACAATCAAATCAAATCGGTTTAGTCAATTCATTTTAGTCGAGCCTAATAGCCATCATATATAATTGATGGTGCCGCTAAAAATAAAATCATTTTAATCAAGTATTTACTTGATTATGCCGACTCTTTTTTTCTTTTGGTCCTTTAAGTGAGATTGGTCTTCTGTGACCAAATATCCTGCAGCCACAAATGTAGAAGACTATATTCTACAATTCATTTAAAGATGAAAAATGGAATGGAACAATAAGTTGAACAATGCAATAGACACAAGAAGCGAGAGCCCTTGACCCAGAACCCACTGGGGAGGAAAATTTCCCTCTTTCTTGTTCTCTGATAAGTGCATTAACCAAGGTACAAATGAACCTTAATAGCTAGTAAGAAAACACTTAAGAGAGCAAAGTAGAGCAAGGCATGAAGCATGATGGCCGCACCACTGGTTTGGAAGTTGCCGAACTCCACACATCTTTGGTGTCCTGGGACTTGAAACAGAAGTCCTGGCGATAATAGAACAAACAGTACCACTGCCACAAATACCATGCCCCAATCGGACATCTTTCCTCTCTCTCTCTCTCTCTCTCTCTCTCTCTCTCTCTATGTGAATTGGTGAAGATGGAAGGGAGAGTTAGAAGGGTTAATCTATTGATTGGGATAAAGAGGCAATGGGAGCAGAAATGTGAGGTGGAAAAGGGCTTATGTAAGGTGGGTGGGGAATGGGATTTGTGGGGAGAAGAGACTTCGGTGGGAAGAAAAGATGACAAAAGAGAGTGTGGGCCGGAGGCTACTAAATGAAGTTATTTGGATTCACTGCCACCGTCCCATTTGCTAATACACCATTCTCGCATGTGACAGCTTGGGATACAGTTTTGCATTTTCTTAGGCATGATTGATCCTTCACCTCATTCTAATCAAATAGCATTGATTGGTCCAGTTATATTCCGACTTTGTCACTTTCTGTTACACTTTGAACGCGCTTTCTTGCTCGAGGCTATCTTCGGCTACTTATTTTACATCGAATACCACATCGACCTTTTACCTCTCTTCGCCAATAAGACCCTTTCTTAAGGCAATTCCACATCGGAAGAGAGTCGTATTCCCCCCTCGCATATAAGTCCTTGCACTCAAAGGAGAAGGTACCCACTAGCGACCTGATCAGGTCGCTAGTGGGTACCTCTTCCATATGAAGTCAATGCTTATATGCGAGGGGGAGAAACGACTCTCTTCTGATGCAGGACAAGCTCCTGCGAGCGAAGAGGGGTAAAGGCTACTGCCGAACGCGTGCAGGTCAGCCGAAATCCTTCCGTGGGAGAGGACATAAATCCCCTACAAAAAGGCATTTTTTTTGTAAGGGGTAAAAATCTCTACGGATTAGATACTTCCTCCTTTGAGTGCAAGGGCTTATATGCGAGGGGAGAAGACGACTCTCTTCCGATGTGAGATTGTCTTAGGAAAGAGCGGAATCCTTCGAGTAGAGGGATGAGATCCGTAGCGATTTCTACCCCTTACAAATACCTATATGGTAAAATACACGTTAATATATATACATTGAAGACAAGAACAAGTCCGAATAAGAAAATACAAAACCAAATATTACGTGAAAGCATTATCGAACAATATTTTTATTGTAAGATGGTGATTGACAATTCCTCGCGTCCTCATGGCCCACACATTTACATTTTTCATTTACGTTGAAATTCTCAGCCTAACAGTCTATCCGTGCCATCACTTTCATTTCTTGAAGTGTTGACAGCCCATTTTTCTCATTTCTAAAGGAGCAATATTAAAAAAAAAAAATTTGGTCAGAAAGCGATATTAACATTTGCAACTTCTATTTTTTTTCTTATTGTTCGTACACCCCATAGTACTTTACCCTATACAGCTATTGGTTCCAATATAATCGTCTAGCGCTCTAAAGTGATTTAAGATAATAGGAATAATTGACATGTTTTTAATGAATTAGATTTATGTGGGAGATGTTGATTTGTTTGATTATAGACTGGTATTGTTCTTTACAGAAAACTCTGATAATTTTTGTTATCACTCGATATGTACTGCAATAGCTTGAAGCTAAAGGAAGATAGCAGGTGCCACTTAAATCCATCTGAGAGAAGCACTTCATATATTGTAATATGCCAAGCTTTTTCCCCATTTTTGCTCACACACCATTCAAAATTATCTATTACTTGGTACACCCCAAAAATCTAATCCCACCCCATCCCATCCCGTATGTTTTAAGTTTCCCCTGAATGGAGTCTCCATCTTTCATGAAGTTTGAAAATTGTAAGAAAATACAGCAAGTTTGACAAGTGTGGCATGGCTGGTTGTGATGGTCTTTGAGAGGTAGCTAAGAGATGTAGATGGTAGGAGAGATGGTGGTGACGACTCTTAAAAGTGATGATGATGGGTGGTTGGAATTTGCACAGTGGTAAAGTGAATGGGGCCAATGGTGACAAAGGTTAGACGATGAGTTTGAATGGGTAAATGATGGATGTTGCCACGACAGTGATGGTGGGTATTGAGGGCAAGGGTCATACATGTGTGATGTAAAACAAGTGGTTGTTAATTACTTGGAACAAGAAGATCGGAGAAATATTTGCATGGGTATACGCACCAAGTGGCAAGCCCATGTAGTGTGTATAACCAATAAAAAAGGTACACATGAACAACTTGTCAGATGCATTACACATCAGCATTTTAACAATTTTTTATCCACCTGTTAGTAACCTCCGTCACCGGCTTTGAACTCCAAGAAACATGCTGAAAAAAAATTTCAGATCTGTGGCAGTGTATACAGTACCACTAATTTCAAAATTCAAATTTTCCACCACTTTGTCTTCATAGCCTGCTCAAAACTTTTAAATATCTCTCTCTTTCTTTCTCTCAAACCAATTTCTCTATCTCTATTTCATTCTTTTATCTCTGTCGAGGAACTGTGTTTGTTTTGGTTAACTTAAAAAACAAATATAAAAGATATCTTGAAGATTAAACAGGCTTGTTGGATGTTCTCACTCGACTACGTTGGTATGCTTGGAAACTGAGAAAGTCGAGCAACTATGATGGATAATTTTATTATGTTTAACTATCTTGTTCATATTCACACACACATAAAAAAAGTTTCAAGAAAGGAGAGAAGTGAAAGATGAACTATTTTTGTTCGAATAAATTGGTAGTGTGCCAATCAGATGCATGGATATGAGTTTTAGATGTGGAGTATCATCCTTTAATTACACTATCCTTCAATGCAGGTGCATGTTGAGCAAGCTGACTCTGCAACAAGCTACTCCATATGACGGGGATCCTGTAAGAATTGGATAGATATTGTAAGAATTGGATAAATATTATAGATTAGTTATGCGAGTTATTTAGATAATTTTAATATTTATCTTTTAAGTAATTTTTTTTAACTTTTAAGGGTTTAGTTGTCATTATTTATTTATTTTAGGATTTTAGTTTCCCTATATAAAGAGATGCATGTAAAAATTTTATTTAGATTAGACTTTGATTATTATTGAATACTGATATTTCTTTCTTCTCAATTTCATTATCTTTTCTCATCTCTTTCTTCTTCTCTTCTCAGCTCTAATTTTTTCCTTCCTAGTTTACATCAATTTGGTGTCAGAGCAAATATGATTTACATTAATTCGGTATCAAAGCTAATACGATCTACACCACCACATCTATAGAGATGCAAATACACCAACGGGAACATTAGTTCAAGAGGGAAGTAGTTTGATTTTGATTTTCTTTCTTATGATTTTGGCCTGGATGTGGTTAAAATTCAAAAGAGGTTATGGGTTCAAATTGTAGTGTGCCAATCAGATTTATTGTTTTTCCATAGAAAGAGAAAGAAAAAGCATGGGCATGTAGGAGACATAACCTGGGTTTTCAGTCTTCAAAGAGTTTTAGTTTTTTAGGAATCAAACCAAGTATTGTGTGTATTAATTTTATTGTGGCTAGAATTATTGGAATGGATTAATGTAATCCATATGGAATTGTACATTCGTCTTGAGCAGTAGCAGTTAAATAAGAATTCCAATTGCTTTGTAGTAGTCTAGTATAAGTGAGATTAGTTTATACTTTTAATTATTGAACTGCTTTTAATTATTGATGCCAGTCCTCTTGATCTGAACAATAAAACCAATCCTCAGGCCAAAGGTTCAGAGAATCCACCATTGTCTAAGTCAGCTTCGATACTAGAAAAAGAGGATCATGAACAAAATCTTATGAACACCAACCAGCACTCAGAACTCCAAGAACCGCAAATTGTAAATAAAATCAATCTCACTAATCAAGAATTAACAGAAAATCAGGTTACATTAGGCTATGATTCTGCTACATATAAGTTGGTTAATTTAAATGATGAGGAGGATGAAAATGAATTTTCTATTTCTTCTGAAGATGTCTCAGACGATGGGATAGACGAGTGTTCTTCCTTGTTGGATTATGGTCACTATAAGCAAGATTTTGAATACTTAACAGTGGAGGCCAGGGAGAAATCAAAGTCCATTACTCTAGAAATGATGGCAGCAGTCCATAAAAATATTCATAGTCAAGGAGAGATAATTCCAAGCATGTCAGGGGAGGAGATTCAAAAAGCCTTGAAGCTAAGATGAGTTTATTCAAAGGATGACTATGTTAAGAGGTCTTCTTTTCATGAGCAATCAAGGAGTTTTTACTCTGATGGGGAGGAGGCACCAGTAGTTCAAGAAAATAATTTCAATTCTTTTATGTCATAAAGAGGAGGAGTTGTTTGTTTGGCTTTTGCACTTGATAAAGTCAAACCTATAATTATGACAAGATCAAGAACATTCAAGTTGCCAAAGCCAAAGAAATCCTATGGATTTAAATATTATTAATTTTTTATGGGTTGGTTCTACTTGATGAGGTCTCTTGCAGTCACTATTATTCCAGCATTCTGTCTTTCAGCATTCTTCTTACTGTCTTTCAGCTGGGTTATTCGAAAAAAGCAGTAGATTAATGTTCAGCTGTCCAGTACTGTTCACGATACTGTTCATATAATTTTTTACTAAACTGTCAGCTGGCTCATATTCTCTGGACTCTTCGTTGACTGTAAAATATAACGTTTGAAGTCATTGTTAAGATTTTATTTTGTATTTAAAATTCTTTTATTATGTAAGGGGAAAGGTTTATATCCTCTACTCTCTTTATAATTTTGTTATTAATAAAATTTGTCGTAAATGGGTTTAACTTTAAAAAAAAAATAGTTAAATAAGGACTCTAGTTACTTGTTTAAATTGGAATTTTGAGTAACTTGTATCACCAAATTTAAAGAACTTTGCTGGGCATTCAAGAACTCATTTATATTCAGTAATCTTAAATTAGTTAAATGATAGCAATGTTCCCTTCATTATTTCAAGCATTTCTATAAGATTTATGTTCGAGACTTGTATTATAAATCTTCAGGAATAAGGGATACACTAAGTGAGTGCATCTTAAAAATTAGTAAATTTCATCTAAAAGATAGTATGGATGGATACCCAAGAATATGATAGTTGGTATGATATGGAAGTTTTTTTTTTATTTTTTATGTTATAGTGCATCCCAAAAATTTGTTTGTACCGAAATTTCACGAGAAAAAATTATGGCAGTTAAAGAAAAGAATAAAAGAACACAATATAGTCTGGAGAATATGCTGGCAGCTAACTAAGGAAGCATTGCATGATGGTAATAACTTGTCTTATGCACCACAAGTCAGCTTGGGTGGCTAAGCAAGAAACCAAAAACATATAACAACAAAGAGGAGACTGATATATTTTACAAGATTGAAGGGGGCTGTATGTTGGGGGGCGGGGGCGGTTAACAGTGGCAAAAAGTCATACATGTAGATAACTTAAAATTCATGATATTTTACAAGATCTTCCAAAAATAAAGTATTTAGTTCATCAAAATCATCTCATTACTAATTCCCAGAAGTCCAAACAAAATTTCTCATTGATTCTCACTGATTCATGCCCTTGTAAAAAACTTTGTTGGAGGAGCTCTGATTCGTTTCAGACATTGCAATGTTAGTTTGTAATAAGTTGGTGAGAGGCATATTCGGGCAAGGTACATTTACAATTTCTGAGTTGAAATGAGACATATCCGTACGTACATTGACAATATGCATGTCAAACAATGGTACAAATTGCATACACGCGGAAATCACTTAATTAAAATACAATTAATGATTGAGTAAATATTTTTAAATTTAAAATGTAATTATACCTGTTTTTGAAAATTTGTATTATCTTCCATTCCTAGAACTGATGATTGCATCTCACTACCTGCTTATAAACACATTATAACAAACTCATGATAAAATTAATATCATAATTTACGAAGGACAATAGGTTGTTACGTAACATGGTTATCCTAGGTTGTGGCATTCGAGATGTACATGCATCTGGCTTTGATATTTTTTCTTCTTCTCTCCAAGAAACCTTTTAGCCTACCATATGTTTTTCCTTTTTGTCTAAATCATGGAAGATCCAACATTGGGGTACTAGAAATTTCTAAAAGAATGTTCTCATCATCATCATCAACTGTATTCTTTCCTAATAAAGTTGACTTGTATTTTCTCACTTGATGTATAATGTTATCCATGTTATTTTCTACAATCTCAACAGTTGTATCATCATCCGCACGAAGATTCATAACACTAAACGCTCTCTGCATTAACTTGTTGAGGCGCAATGTCCTAAATGAATTTCCATTACTGTCTGACAACAAAGTATTAGTCATACCAAGTTCCACCCCTTGTTTTGCATTTTTTGTCCATCTTTTCAAGATATACTATTAAGGAATTTTGTTCACACAATTCAAATTGAATACCTTTAATGCACGACGACATTACCAACCCAGTCACTCAAATTTTTTACAACTACACATTATTAAATAATTCAAGGTGTCAAACTGCACAATGTAGTCTCAATCACCTCCTTCCTTTCTTATCTTATACATAGAGGTGAAAATCTTAACCTATTACTCATTAATCCGCCCAACTCACCCATAAATAAATGGGTTAGATAATATGATTCATTTTAATTAAGCGAGTTAATATAAATTACAAATGAATACCCATTATGTTGAGTATTTATCTTTTTATTAAATAACGCGAGTAATAAAATTAAATAAATATACTAAAATACCAAAAAATGCACACACTATTATACCAAAAAATACACACATATATATTAATGCACCAAAATATATACACACTAGTACACAAGAAAATGCACACACTAACACACCACCCATGACCCATGGGTCGAACCATGAACTACGGGTCAACCCACGACCCATGAGTTGACCCATAACCCATGGGTTGATCCATGCATTGACCCATAATCCATAGGGCGACACATGACCTGAGGGTTGACCCTTGACCCCGACCTACTATGTGTGTATTTTTTTATTAAATATGTTTAGTTTTTGTGTTAGTATATGTGTCTGTATTTTTGGTGTATTAGTACATATATTTTTAATGTATTAGTTTGTGTGTGTTTTGGTGTATTAGTGTGTTTGTATTTTGTTATACTACTAATGTGTGTGTTTTGGTGTACTAATATATCTATTAAGAATTTTAATTATTTTATGGGTTACTCGGTTTAACCTAACCCGTTATAACCCATTTACTAGGTGAGTGAAAAATGGATTTGATTTATTTTAGTTCAATCCAATTTAATCCAACCCATAACCAACTCAATCTACCCATTTGTCACCCCTACTTACACATATGAATTGTGTTGTCATGACTGGACTAAACCTCCTTTTGAGAAACACATTGTAAAAACTCAGGTTGAAACAATCCAAAAATCTTGTGTGTGTACACCTTGCATGCATGCTTTAAAATTCCAGAATCATAAACTAAAACACGAGGTTTATCATGAGCACAATTATAATCATAAATCACCTCAATTTCACGCATTTTTTTTAGCATTTTGTTCAAAATGATGCACAAATTCTGTCAAAATCATTGTCTTACAAGCCATATGTTGACAAACATTATTTGTGTTCTCACTATTTTGGCTTGAGTTAATGTTACAAGAAAATGTATCACGACTAACATTCTGTCAAAATCATTGTCTTACAAGTCATACGTTGACAAACATTATCTGCCCATTTTTTACGAAGGTTGTACAATTTCTGAAGCCATGACACATTCAAATAATCCCAAGTCATCATCTTTTCAATCCACTTTTCTTCAAAATCATTCTCTCAGTCACTGTTATACAAAAGATAAGAAAACATATCCCTGAACCCAGGTTCCCAATAAAGAGAAGAAATATTTGTAGTGGCATTTTTTGAGATAAGACACTGACACAAGCGGTGACGAGGATTAGGAAACACCCTTCAATGGCATTTGTCATCGCATAATCTTGATCAGTAAAAATGATTTTTGGTGCCTTATGATCCATGGACTCTAAAAAAGTATCAAACAACCAAATAAATGAAGCAGTTGTCTCATCGCATAAAAATGCACAACCATACATCATATTTTTCCAATGATGATTTACCCCCACAAATGGAGCACATATCATGTTGTATCTATTTGTACGGTAAGTGGTGTCAAAGATAACAACATCTCTGAAAATCGCATAATCTAATTTTGATATTCCATCTCTTCAAAAAAAATTGGTCATTCGATTTTTCTCATCAACTTGTATAGTATAAAAAAAATGGAATTTTCTACTTGCTGGTGCTTGAAATAATTAATCAAACTTTGACCATCATCGGCAGAAAATTTTTTTGACCTTTCAACTTGTATAAAATTATGACAATCACTTTGAATAAATCCAACATTTTGATCCACCTGCTTCATTTACCAGATAAGAAAATGTTTTTGTAGCCCTTATACCAATGTAAACCATTGGTTTAATAACAACTTTACTATACTTAGTATCTTTCGGGCGGATCTCATCAAGTGTCATAGTTCAAATTCAAGAAAAGTGTGATTTTGCTCATAAAAAAATTGTGAAATTTCATACACGCCATTTTTCACCATAAAAATAACACGATCCTGACAACCACAACTCGTGTCTAATTTATAGGATTTTTTCTCTTCACTTGGGTCTATAAATTCTCTAAATCCCTCTTTTGAACATAAAAATACGCGTATGCTAACTTCACATGTGTTTCTTGAAAAGCTCTTATGCCCCTTTCGAATGCTAAAACCTTTATTATATGCATATTTGTTGTACATATTAAATGCCTCTTCTTCACTAAATGCTAACTTATCAACTTTCAACTCACAATCATCATTATTGGCAGTTAAAAATTGATCAGGTGCATTAATCTCAAAGTAGTCAACTCTAACTTCTTCGTTGTCATTGTCACAGATTTCTATAGTGTAAAATTATGTAATGACATATAGTTAAAATTTCATCAATGTATAGCTAAATCAAACATACATAATTAATTTGAATCTAAAAGGGAAAAAAAAAATACCAATTTGTGCAATTTGTTTGCCATGATTTGAAGCCATTGTTCAATCTATGTCCTCACTCTTCACGTTGAGTTTGCATACAATAAACCTCAACAGATGAGAAATACGAAGTAANAATCTATGTCCTCACTCTTCACGTTGAGTTTGCATACAATAAACCTCAACAGATGAGAAATACGAAGTAAAAAAAAAGATACCCACAATAATGGACAGTGAGAGAAAAGAAACTAATTTCTTACCAATCCTCAAGTGAGACTTTTGAAATGTTAAAAGAAAACGTGACCATGGAGAAAAAGAAAGAGAGGTTGAAGGAGAGATGTTACTTTGAAAGTGGAAATGAGAGTTTTACGATGGAAGAAGGTAATAAACAAGTGGTTGGTGAATGAGTAACAGTTAAAACAATAATGAATTTTTAATTAATGGGTAAGCAATGCTACAATATCTAGTCAATTAGTTGTCTCAAAAATACAGTTGAGTTGACCTTTACATATGCTTTTACAGCAATCATCCTAACGGAGGTTAAGTAACAGATGGAGAACAAGGAGTTAAAGTCCTGATGTGTAATGCATCTGAAAACTACTCATGTGTCCTTTTTTTATTGGTTATACACACCACATGGGCCTATCACGTGGTGTGTATAACCCATGCAAAAACGTTTCAGAAGATCATTATGCATTCAAGGCCCAACGAAAAGTAAAAAGGTGATAGTATAGATAAAATGACTTGGAATTGATTGAGACCAAGGGTGTTTGATTTCGATCGGGCCAATGATCAAAGACTCATCGCTTTGCCATGAGTTCTTTCAATTTTAGGTCGAATTCCATCATTTATGCCCTAAAAACTCTGTTTTTGCTGTTTTAAGAAAGAATTCAGAAATTAATAATAAATCATAAGAGATTTCAAATTCAGAGCCGTCAGTTGGGTTGGACTCCAGATGACACGTACTTTTATGTTAATTAATTAGATTATAATTTTTCATTTTTAATAATTTTCGTATAATTAAGAATTTTAATTTTATTATGGAGACGATTAAGGTTTTAACCANATGACACGTACTTTTATGTTAATTAATTAGATTATAATTTTTTATTTTTAATAATTTTGTATAATAAGAATTTTAATTTTATTATGGAGACGATTAAGGTTTTAACCATTCATATATATCTATATAATAACGTAGAACTGAGTTTAAATTTTGGAGACAAAGAGAAGTTCATATCATTTTGAGACAAAACATAAACACATTCAACGGACAACGTAATTCCAACATAAAAGATGGTTCAGATCATCTCAAAAATCTTGATCTAACGATCTATAGTGAGTACTAAATTTTGTTTTCGTGCCTAACAACATTTTCTGACTCATGCCTCTCTCTCTCCTCTATATGCANGTTCAAATCATCTCAAAAATCTTGATCTAACGATCTATAGTGAGTACTAAATTTTGTTTTCGTGCCTAACAACATTTTCTGACTCATGTCTCTCTCTCTCCTCTATATGCAATGTCTATCTATATCAGATGCAATCCCCAATTCATGTCCTAATATCTTACCCTCAAATCTTCCTCTCTCTCCCTCCCTCCCTTCATGCTATGTAAACAACTACCATTTCCCCTACCTATTCTCTCTAAGCCCTATGCATCTTGCTTCTATCTCTCTCCCATTCCTATTATGTCTCTCGGTCTATCTCTCAAACTCTATATTGCACCCGAAATACATCTCTCTCATACCTATTCGTCTCTCTCAGTTGCCACAACGCCACCGCCATAACACCATCCTGGTATGCAGCCTCTATCTCATTCTCTCTCTGTCTACCAATTACTACCGGACCACAACCACTCACACCCAAATCAGCAACCCCATCCATCGCCCACCGCATATACGCATAGCCATCACCACCACACACGACACAAACCATCGCCCATGTTGCCTCCATCCCTTTTGTATGTATGATTTCAAAGTGTTTGTTGGTTTGCTTCTGGAAAAAAAAATACAAGCTCAATTTTTAACTTTGACAGACATAGCCTATGAGTTTCTAATTTTGGGTGGTTTTAAGAATTGAGTTTTTGATTTTGCTATCAAGAAAATATGTGAATTTCGTTTTTAAAAAATTATTCATCTCTCAGTGCCAACCCATTTGATGGATTCCAGTAATTTTAGAGTATATGATGAATTGGATTTTTGATCTAGCAGTAACTTTTTTTGCTGACATTGCAATTCTATTTGTTTGTATTAAAGTCATTTAAATGGCTTTATGATTTTAAATTGGAAATTTGGTTGAACAAGTATGTTTTTTGGTATGGTTACTTTGCATGATATAAAGATAATGAAGGTTAGGAAGTTTTTTTGATTCTTTTATACCTAATGTGCCTCTTTTGCAATAGTATTATCCTTACATATACAGAATAATTAGCATGATTTTTATTTAGCCTTTTCTTTTTATATGCAACTCCAATGGATTTTTTTTTGTGTACATTCAATCTTTTTGTGATCATTGTTAGGCACACACCTACCAGCATAATTGCATTTTTAATTATGCAACGATACAATTTTAATGCATTTCAATGCAGTTCGGCATTTTAGGTTTGACTGTTGTAGTGCATGTGGTATTGGGAATCCAATTTGCACGATATTGCTTCAAGATTTTTTTTTTTGTTCATAATTGATGTATGGTAAGTTATGATTTGGTGTAATAGAGTGTTACTATGACAAAGTCAATATTTGGTTGCTAAGAAATTGAAAAAAATGATGATTTTGACATTCAATTGTTGGGTTGTATAAGTTGTTCATGCTTTTTATATTCATGGGTTCATTTCTGTTTTTGTATAAGTTTTTGGTAGATTGCTGCATTTGAGGCACTACCAATTGCTTATGTGGTTCAAGGAAGGACAAATGAACTCACTTTTGTCAATTAATATGAATTTAGGTTTGAAAACTATGTTCTTGATTACTAAAATCATGGTTGTGAGATGTATTTGTGTTTCAGTTGCCGATCTTTTCAATTTTTTGTTCTCTTTTTTGTTCTTGCATTGCAATGTGATACTTATATGTGGGTAGAATTAATTAGATAGAACAAGACAGAGTGGGGTGGAGAAAAGTTTGATACTTACAATAGCATATGCAGACCTTTTACTTCAATGAACCATATTCATTGTTTTGTTTCTTTATGTTAATTACTCTTTGGGTCACAAACTAAGGTATTTGTGCAATTGTTGATGTTGTAATCAGATAAGCAATGTCAATGGATCCCCCTTTAGTTCAACTATATTATTTTGTCCTCATTCACTTAGCAACGTCACAATCAACTTCACGCCACTGTTCATTTCACCAGTCCTCATTCACTTGGGTTATTGCATTTTTTTTTGTTTTATATAGTGCCTTCAGGTACGGACAATCTCTAATATGACGTTAGATCAAGAATACGAGCCTTGAAATTATTAGGTGAGCTTGAGACTAAGCTCGATCTCCTGAAAGTTTGTCTTTCCCGAATGACGAAACAAGCGGTGGAAAAATGTCAGCAGTTGGAATTCAAATTTGAAAAGCGGAAGCAGAGGAGTTATGATATGGAAATGAAGGAACCAGTTGGTCATGAACTGAGAGACAAAATTAAGTCAGGATTGGAAAGCCAACCAGAGAAACCCAAAAGCAAAATGGAATCAACAATGAATCAAATTGAGGGCGGAACGAAGGTTCGAGAAGATGCTTGAGGATCTGGAAATGCTTTCATACAGAGAAGACGACCTTGAAGTGATTTTGCAGCTGTAGATGCAGTGTTTTGCTTGATATAGAAGAGAATCATGGATTGAATTGGTTAGAATACATTACTATATTGACCTCTTAATTGCTTTGACAATTGTTTTGGATAGTTGTTCTTTGATTATAGACTTGTTAGTTACTATTTGCATATCTTAGTGTAGATATGTAGAGTGAAAGATTACATTGTTAGTAGACAGACCAAACATCTCTTATTTCCTTATCTATACAAACATGGGCTTGATTTTCTCTTCAAAGCCAATAGAAGCACATTTTGCGAAAAAGAGACTAAAATCCAATAGTTGTTTTATTGGATTCAAATTATATAAAGTTGTTATTTATTTTTATTCTAATTTCACGTGGTGCTTTCATTCTATAATCAAGTTATCTCACATAAGATTCAGATATAAAATATTAGGTAAATATCATAATTGGGAATGTATGACTGTGAATTTTGTGGTTTTGAAAATTTTATGATTATTGCGGTTGGTTTTATTATATGTTTTTTGATTTAATTATGCACTAAGTAAGAAAATTGAGTGTCATTGTTTTGAGGAATAATTAACGATTGAGTCATCCAAGTTCAAGGAAGAAAACAAAGATTAGGTTGGGAAGGATAGACATGTATTTGCGATTTTTTATTTGCTATATAGTGTCTTTAGGTACGGGCAATTGCTAGTATATATATATATCTTCTTATGTAATACAAGTTATTCAGTGAATAATATATCTTTTTAGAGATATTTTCTTTTTTTTTTCTCTGTGGATTCAGAGTGTGTTATATATATACGCGTGAATCTTAGTGTTCTTCGTATCTCTTTGTTCCGTTGCATCAATGTAAATGTATGAGGTGTCATAACAGTGGAAATAGATACCGATTACATCAATATTTGTAACTTAGGTATGGGTATTATTGATGGCATTCGATATTTGTTGTGAATAAGATGGGGTGGAAATAATAATTCTTTTTAAAACACATTAAGAGCTTAATGTGGTGTGGAATGAATTTTTCAGGAGTAGGCATAAGATTACCCTTACTATGTACTTGGTGATTCTTAAATTGTATATAATTCCCTTATTTATTATTTTTTTTATTATATTATGATATCACGAAACAATTATGATGTAATGATATTATTATATTTATATTAATGCTATTGAAATATAATTTAAAACTTTAATAATTGTGTCAAATTGAATTATGGATACATCTCAAGGATGTTGCAGTAACATTGTTCTTATATTTATAGCTCTTATATTTATAATGAGTATTTTCTAGTTTGGTGGGATGGGATGTACGGAAGAAAGGCCAACTTCCTCGTGGGTGAGAACATTAGAGGAATCTTCAGACATTGGCACCTCTTTCACGTGTTGTTTGACATAGGGATATCCAAAAAAATATTCATTTGACCTACAAAGTGGATATACTGAAATAGCTACTCTACCCTTGGATTATCAAAAGGCACACACTCACCTTCCCCAATTATTGACTTCAATCTAGTGGTCCACAATGGCGTTTCATATTTGTTATTTGTTTCTTCAAAGTTGTGTGCCAACACGTTTTTCTTTGTTGTTTAAATACCACCAACATAGTGAATTTGAATTCCTAAATGTGTTGGGGAATATAAGATAATTATCTTATTGACAATTTATAATGGTATTGCAATCAAATTACAATATCGAATCTACGCATAATAAAACTACTTATATATATATATATATTTTTTTTTTATTGTCATGCAAAATCTTTAATGCAAGAATTATTATTTTTAATTATCTCGACCGGGTATGAATAATCACTTCATATTTAAACTCGACCACCATTTTTTGCCAAAAAATTATAGCATAAATGATTAGTTATATTAAAAGAAGAGAGGAGTAAGAAACTCTTAATTTAACGCTAATAATAATAACTTTCAATACTGGTCATATGATATTTGAAAAATATTTTTTAAAAAATCATGACCTTTCTTTCTTTTTTTTTTGGTCAAGAAAACCATTATTTATCCAAAATCCTCGTGACACTCCATTTCATGTTGTTGGACCTTGGTTGTCTAGTAATATCATTACGGGGCTATTTTGTCTCCCTTGTAGGCCCTCATTACACTCCATTTATGTGGTAGGACCTTCGTTGTCTTGTAATATCTTATAGGGCTATTTTTGTCATTTGAGTTTGCTAGGATATTTCCGTTCCCTTCTCATTAATTTTTTTTCTTCAAGTTGTTAAACAAGCCCACCGAAAAAACAGAGAGAAGAGTTGGAAAACCTTCTGTTTATGTTATGCTGAGAAATTAGTGGCTTGATTAGAGGGTAAAATATAACTCATGAGGGAAAAAAATAGGGTCAATTTGGGACAAATATAACTTCTTACTCCAACTGCAGCCTATCATACTCTACCACGTCATAAAACTGTAAACTTTCCTTTATAATGCGCAGCACTGTATATTTCCTCGATATCTCCCTCGTCTTCGTCGCTTCTGCGGGCTTTCCCTATTAAGCCGCTAAGAATCCAACACTTTAAAATCTCGCTGTTCCTTCAAGTCAAATAGATACTCTCTCTCTCTCTCTCTCTCTCTCTCCCTTGAATTTTCCTCTGCATCACCATCTGATGTTCGAAATTTGTTATCCACTTTCCATAGCTAGGGATTCACGACTCTCCTTCGCCGTGGATCTCTCTCCAGCGGGGATCGTACTTATGTGAGGTCCTGAAACGCCTTTACAGCTCCGTTTCCTGCTCTTTTGAGGAATCAAGTACTTAATCGAAGCCGAATTCAAGTGAACGCAATTGAAGTACTTTCTCTAAAATTCGTTCGGTTCTAATTTTTGCTGAGTACAAAAAAAAAATGCAATCAGGTGAGAAATCGATTTCATTCTGTTATTTTTAATATTTTATCAGCTTGAATTTATCATTAGGACATTTTATACATCAATACATGTATGCATTATGTGACTACTTTTCTTTTCGTTTTTGCCGAGACGTCACCATTTGTTTATATTTCTGGAAGACCGAGTTAGATTCTATTGACGACAATTTGGACAGTGAATATTATTCACTTGCTGAACCAGGATTTAATCATGGTTGATTTTCTTTTGCTATATCTATCCGTATAGCTAATGTAAGAATAATATAAACAAAATTGTTGTGAAACTTAAACTGAGTATCTACGAAGTAAAAGTTGAATGACTAAACCAAGAACAAACGTNGCAAAATCTTTAATGCAAGAATTATTATTTTTAATTATCTCGACCGGGTATGAATAATCACTTCATATTTAAACTCGACCACCATTTTTTGCCAAAAAATTATAGCATAAATGATTAGTTATATTAAAAGAAGAGAGGAGTAAGAAACTCTTAATTTAACGCGAATAATAATAACTTTCAATATTGGTCATATGATATTTGAAAAATATTTTTTAAAAAATCATGACCTTTCTTTCTTTTTTTTTTGGTCAAGAAAACCATTATTTATCCAAAATCCTCAGTGACACTCCATTTCATGTTGTTGGACCTTGGTTGTCTAGTAATATCATTACGGGGCTATTTTGTCTCCCTTGTAGGCCCTCATTACACTCCATTTATGTGGTAGGACCTTCGTTGTCTTGTAATATCTTATAGGGCTATTTTTGTCATTTGAGTTTGCTAGGATATTTCCGTTCCCTTCTCATTAATTTTTTTTCTTCAAGTTGTTAAACAAGCCCACCGAAAAAACAGAGAGAAGAGTTGGAAAACCTTCTGTTTATGTTATGCTGAGAAATTAGTGGCTTGATTAGAGGGTAAAATATAACTCATGAGGGAAAAAAATAGGGTCAATTTGGGACAAATATAACTTCTTACTCCAACTGCAGCCTATCATACTCTACCACGTCATAAAATCTGTAAACTTTCCTTTATAATGCGCAGCACTGTATATTTCCTCGATATCTCCCTCGTCTTCGTCGCTTCTGCGGGCTTTCCCTATTAAGCCGCTAAGAATCCAACACTTTAAAATCTCGCTGTTCCTTCTAGTCAAATAGATACTCTCTCTCTCTCTCTCTCTCTCTCTCCCTTGAATTNGGGCTTTCCCTATTAAGCCGCTAAGAATCCAACACTTTAAAATCTCGCTGTTCCTTCAAGTCAAATAGATACTCTCTCTCTCTCTCTCCCTTGAATATTCCTCTGCATCACCATCTGATGTTCGAAATTTGTTATCCACTTTCCATAGCTAGGGATTCACGACTCTCCTTCGCCGTGGATCTCTCTCCAGCGGGGATCGTACTTATGTGAGGTCCTGAAACGCCTTTACAGCTCCGTTTCCTGCTCTTTTGAGGAATCAAGTACTTAATCGAAGCCGAATTCAAGTGAACGCAATTGAAGTACTTTCTCTAAAATTCGTTCGGTTCTAATTTTTGCTGAGTACAAAAAAAAAATGCAATCAGGTGAGAAATCGATTTCATTCNACGCCTTTACAGCTCCGTTTCCTGCTCTTTTGAGGAATCAAGTACTTAATCGAAGCCAAATTCAAGTGAACGCAATTGAAGTACTTTCTCTAAAATTCGTTCGGTTCTAATTTTTGCTGAGTACAAAAAAAGAAATGCAATCAGGTGAGAAATCGATTTCATTCTGTTATTTTGAATATTTTATCAGCTTGAATTTATCATTAGGACATTTTATACATCAATACATGTATGCATTATGTGACTACTTTTCTTTTCGTTTTTGCCGAGACGTCACCATTTGTTTATATTTCTGGAAGACCGAGTTAGATTCTATTGACGACAATTTGGACAGTGAATATNTATACATCAATACATGTATGCATTATGTGACTACTTTTCTTTTCGTTTTTGCCGAGATGTCACCATTTGTTTATATTTCTGGAAGACCGAGTTAGATTCTATTGACGACAATTTGGACAGTGAATAATATTCACTTGCTGAACCAGGATTTAATCATGGTTGATTTTCTTTTGCTATATCTATCCGTATAGCTAATGTAAGAATAATATAAACAAAATTGTTGTGAAACTTAAACTGAGTATCTACGAAGTAAAAGTTGAATGACTAAACCAAGAACAAACGTATATAAAATATTAATTTTATAGATCTAGTCTAAAATTTCAAACTTTTGGATGCATAAAATAAAAATAAAGACATATTAATCTAGCACATCAATGGTATAAATAAATGACACCTTTTGGATATTTAATGCTTCTTTGTTTTATTCTACTCTGCATTGTCTCTATGAGGTGTAATTAAGATAGAAAGTGCTAATTTATGGGTTTTGACTCACAACTTCTGCCAAAGTAAATTGCTACGTTGTTAGTTTTCTGTCAGTATTCAGGGGAACACTTTGTGAATGTAGAAGTTTCTGATCAGAGTTGATCATTGCCGGTGTTTTTGTTGTTGATCATTTCATTATATTTGCAGTTAAAGTTTTGTTGTGATAGTTATAAAACCTGGCGTGCTTTGGTGTAAATCCTGCTCATGAGTTGCTCTTTCATGGAAATACAACAAGTTTGATCAGGGATGTTCCAAACCATGTAAACAAAGTTTTCGTAATGCAGCTGCAATGTTGTTCTATGTTTCAGGATATAACATTTCTGATCTGGTTGAAGAAGCCCAAAACCGGTGGCTGAAGCCTGCAGAGGTGCTCTTTATTTTACAAAAATATGAGGACCACCAGCTCGCACATGAGCCCCCTCAAAAGCCAGCTAGTAAGCTCCTTATTCGCTGTATCTTAGTGAGCATTTCATTCTATTATTTTTTAGGGCTAGTACATATCATTTATGATACTTCAAATGTCACTGAATGGATGCTGTAATAGGTGGATCATTATTTCTTTTTAACAAGAGGGTTCTTCGATTTTTTCGTAAAGACGGTCATAGTTGGCGCAGAAAGAAGGATGGGAGAACTGTTGGGGAAGCACATGAAAGACTGAAGGTTTGTTGATTGTTAGCACGTGTATCAGAATTCCTTCTATATATCTGTTGTCAGTATTATCAGGACTAAATATACTATGGCTCCCCCAAACATGTGCTCTGTCGTACTTTGGTCCCCTAATTACCAATTGTGTAACTTTAGTTCTTAAAGTTTACAACTTATATTCAAAAGGCCCAGTGTTGATGATCATCTAAATTAATGACTGTATTGGTCACGTATAACACTTGTGAGGATATTTGAGGGGCATTTGGTGGAAGCAATTAAAGGCCTACCAACGAAGACAGACCAAGGCCGAATGTTCTACCCCTGTCCCTTTCAAGTTAGACTGGTCTGTCCCGTCGACCTCTCTCTCTATTCAGAAGAAGAAGAAAAATTTTGACTGCATTTGTTGCTGCTGATCTGAGCGATTTTTTCAGTGAAATGGGTCCTTTTCATTGATGGCTTTGCAGGATAGAGGTTTCTAGTAAATGGAGATGCCTAAGATTTTTGCTAGCTGTCTACTGATTGGTCCATTGGGGTGTTATTGTTTTTGATACATGTTTCATTAGTAGAATGTTTACAGATTTAACATGGTCTTGATCTGGGGCTCTGATTATAATATTTTAGCCATTCTTGTTTCTAGCATTGGATTTGGAGAAACTGTGAGTTATGGATTTTGGCTCTGGTTGATTGATTGTAGTTTAGTCTCTGTTTTTTTTCAGTGAATTTTTTTTCTTGGTGCCTATAGAGAATTTGAGGACTTTGAGGGTTTACACCACAGATTCTTTTGTGGGTCTTCAAAATTTTTTCTAGCAAATTCTCCTCATACTCTTAACTTGTGTCTCAGTTCCCTATTCCGTTATCAATTTAGATAGTTGTCTACAATTGGACCTTTTGAATACAACTTTCAAACTTCAAGGACTAAAATGACACGCGTGGTGCTTGGGGACCAGTGTGTGAGTGCATGCATGATTGAGGATTGTTAGAGCATCTCCAATTGGCTCTCTATTCTCCCTCNAACTTCAAGGACTAAAATGACACGCGTGGTGCTTGGGGACCAGTGTGTGAGTGCATGTATGATTGAGGATTGTTAGAGCATCTCCAATTGGCTCTCTATTCTCCCTCAACTCTTTATTTTAGAGCGTCAACCACCAAATCAAGCTCCAATAGGCTCTCCACATTTAGAGAGCCTAGCCCACTCTCTATTCTATTTTTAATGAATGAAAAGATGAAAGATATGCATTCTTCATTAAATGCTCTTAATTGGAAGACTCTTTTTCTACTAGAATAGAGAGTACATTGGACTTGTCTATTTTTTAAATTAGAGAGTACTTTTGAAGATGCTCTAGGTGTATTTAAACCTTATAAGAATGAATTCAAAATTCTCTAGACTACTTAATTTTGCACGACTTTTTTCTTTTTTCTGTGCATTCTAGTATGTACTTTGTTGCATCTCCATGCCCCCAGTTAATCTCTCAATCACATAAAGATATACTCTAAGAAAAATATTGACTTAATGGTATTATGCTGTCTGTGATCTTCATCTTTAGAGCTTAAGTTCTCTAACGCCTTGATGTTTGTGTTACACTCAAGTAATTTGATCTCTGAGTAAATAAAGGATCACAATTTGTTTCAGCACATAGCTTCAGTCAGCGCAGAAATGAAAACGTTTAGGATATATTTCTACAACATAATGGAAATTGGAAAAAAAAGTTTGAAATTTGTTTCCGAAACTCTTTGAAATGTTTGTTGAAATATACTAAACCAACCCAAATCACCTCGAAACATTCGAAAGTGTTTCGAAGTGTAAGAATTTCGATGTTCAATTGCTAATTCATCTAGGTCGTTTTGATGGAAGGAAACGAAAAAAAACTTTGATCCTTGTGATCAATAATGATCATGTGGTACAATGTTTACTTTCTAATGGGGTATCATGGGCTTGGTTTACTATGTCAGTTTCAAGACAGACAAGGATTCAATTTTTCATGTTGATACTTCCTTTTCACCGAAAATGAAATAGAACAATAAAAAACAAAGAATAATGACACTAAATATTGAACTAGAGAACCAAAAGGCATTTCAGTTGAAAATACTTTATGTTTGCACATCTAAGGCTTTCATATGTGGAAAGAGCAGTAACTTTTTGCTCTATATGATTTGCTACTGTCTGCAATGTACTGATGCAGTTAGGTGTATTTCCTCATATCACGGGGTTTTCTTTATATGATGCCTTCATCCTTAGGGAGGATTACAAGATACTTTTCTGTACGGGTAGGTTGGAAATGTTGAAGCTCTAAATTGCTATTATGCACATGGAGAACAGAATCCCAATTTTCAGAGACGGAGCTATTGGATGTTGGATCCGTGAGTTTACTTGCATATCTTGGCTGTTTTAAGTTTTTTTGGCTGTAATTTCTGCTTCTGGCTGCAACCATGGTTCATATAATATTAGTCAAAGGGGGTATGACACTTAATTCAGAGGAAAAATTTTTGGAAAACCCCAGTGCATTCTGATCTTAATTATAAATTCGCTAGACTTCATAGCCTTCAGGCATGGCATTAGTTATAAGTTTCCTTCTTCTTTGTTTTTCCATATTTAATCTCTTTTCTTTGTGGTCAGGGCGTATGAGCACATTGTTCTTGTCCATTACAGAGACATAAATGTGGTGAGTTTCTATGAACCTGATCCTAGATAACGCATGTCTCCTGACAACTGTACTTACTGAAATCTCTAACACAGCCATCTGTCAGATATCTTTTTGAGAAAGTCATCCTTATGTACATATCACTGGTTCTAACATTTTTATTTTATGTCTCATAATATTTGTTTTATTGTTCTGCTTAGTATTGTCTTACTTGTGATATTTTCTTAATTTTAATGCACTTTTACTTTTTGCTGATACATTAAAAAAAATAAACTGCTTTTCCTGTTGCGATAGCCTGAGGGATCTATATTCCATACCGACTGCCTGTTCAGAACTTGCCCTATCTGCATACTGAAATTCTGTCTAAAGAAAGTATGAGTTAATTGCATTGACTTAGATATTGTAGGACCAAAAGAACTAGTTTTTGTTAATCTGCCTGTAAAAAGATATGATTTATTTCTCATTTCCACTCTCCCTGCATTTGTTCAGCATACCATATGTTCTTCTTTGTAGTCCCCAGTTGATGAAATTTTGACATACGAGCTGGATTTATTTCTCTTGCCAAAGCAGTACTTGTAGTTCACAGAGTGGCTGTCTTAACTACCGTTTGCTACAGTAGCTAATGGAGCATAACTTCGGCTTCAATTTGAAATCATGAGTTGCAGGGAAGGTACAATGCAGGATCCAGTTCCCAGTTGTCAGCAGGATCCTCTTCTTTGTGTCAGAGTCCCAGCTCTTTTACTAGTCAGCATCCAGGCAGCACTGCTGTTGTTAGTGAATATCCTGAACCATCTCAATATCTATCTAGTCCTGGATCTGTAGAAGTTAGTTCAGAATCAGTCATCACCAGCACTGCAAATTGCTTGGAGATAACGGAAAGAACAGGGGAGGTTGATAATAGTTCATCAGAACAGGAGCTTGGCAAAGCTTTGCGAAAGCTAGAGGAGCAATTAAGTTTGAACGATGACAGCTTGAAAGAAATGGACCCATTCTACAGTGAGAATGAGAATTCAAATGATTCAGATTATGTAGGACAGGATCAATTTTACATTAGATCTGCTGGGATGCAAGATGACTCAATCAGTCCTGTGCCACAGCAGTATTCAGGTTTGTTTCCTTCATTGGCATCTTGTGGGTAAGTTATACCTGATTTCATCTATGCTGTGGTCTCATGGATTAAAGACCTGCAATTAGGCTTCCATTGCTTCCAAATTGTTTGAAAGTGATCCATACATCCATATGGTGGGGTAGGTTGAATTTTCCAAGGTTTTGGGTCAAATCAGGTGCCTGATACTATGCATTATACTTTGAACTTCACATTCTTTTTTTCTTTCCTGCTTCCTCTAGATGTCGAGCACTCATCATTTTAGGTTGCCATAGTTTGTTAACTAATGTCCTGACTTTGAGAAAGCACCATGTAGATCGGGCCCCAAATTTCTATTATATTTGATGTTTCTATTTCCTTCTTATCATCAAATATGAAAGAGCCGCTAATTGGGTTTCTTTTGGCAGATGACATCGCGGAACACAATCATCAGCCCTTGGGGGATGGATTTGCTGTTGAAACTAAAGAAACTTCAGGTTGGAAAGAGATGCTCACTGGCTGTCTGAGTTCAACAGGTGTTGAATCACAAGTTATGCACGCATACACATCAGATGTAAAAGTAAGAAGAATATCTTTGGATCATTTGTCCCATGTTCACTTTGAAATATCCTTTTTCAGTGCATTTCTTCTATTATTATTTTTTTCTATTGTTATTATGTGACTACTACATCCAAACGCAAACACTCCAACCTCTGTATTTATTGACTAAATAATTCTTTTAATTCTTCTTGAAATATCTGGATTCGTGGGTTCTTCCACAGCAATTTTAGTGTTCCTTTGGTTATGGTAACATATCCAGACTTACAACAGGGATTGCTACTGCCGCCGCCAAGGAGGGAGCTGGAGAACCATCATTGGCTTACTTCTGGTATCCACAATGCTCGGAAGTGTAATGTTTTCTCAACTCCTGGAAATAATTCAAATCTGCCATTTTCAGGACCTTGTGAATTTCTAAAACTCTGACAAACTTATTATGTTATCAGCTTTTATGTTGCTGCCGCAAGATGTTGAAGGTTTCGAATTTCCTGCTTATTCTTCAGCAATAAATGCATATGGAGCCAATCCCGACTACTATTCATCTTTATTTGACAAAGGTCAGATTGCAGGATCTCTCGAAGCCGACTCAAGTTTAACCATTGCGCCCAAGCAGAAATTTATGATTCGGGATGTATGTCCAGAATGGGGTTATGCCTCTGAGAGTACAAAAGTATGTTTCTTGACATTCCATCTTGTTACTCAATTTCTATTACTTGTGTTTGATCCTTTATATTAGTATTATTTTTGCATAGATCATTTAATTGTTGAGTTTATGCAGAGAGATTCATCGACTCTGGTTTTGTCGTAAATTTACCNTTTTTTCAAAGGTATATATATTTTTTTATTATTTATTTAAAATTGCATCGTATCTTACGATACACGATACGATACACGATACGATACAATATTTGTATCTTACGATACGCCTTCCGATACACAATTTGATAACTTTGATTAGTATTATTTTTGCATAGATCATTTAATTGTTGAGTTTATGCAGAGAGATGCATCGACTCTGGGTTTGTCGTAAATTTACCTGCCAGTTGAGTGCTATAACAATCTCTAAAAAGTGGCTTTGTTTTTTTTTTTTGAAATATCTTGTTTTTGATGATCCAGTACGAATAATTTCTCTACAATATGAAGTGCATTAGAAGTTTTGATACAGTTATTTTAATTTTATTTTTTTATCAAGTTCATACTGACATTTGTGTACGTATAGCACGTAACCCATTTGATTGATATCTATTAATATAACCATAAAAAATATAATTTTATCCTAATAAAAAATTATAATTTCATATTACCATTTATTTTATGGGTTCAATATATTCTAAAGTTCAAAATCTAGTTTATCATTTGATGTCTAATAAAATGTAAATAATTATATAATATTTTTCATATTACCTTTTATATAAATATTTACATTTTATTAAACATTGAAATGGTAACTTGATTTGTAACTTTAGAGTATATCGAATCCACAAAATAAAAAGTAATATAAAATTATAATTTTTTATTAGAATAAAATTATATTTTTTAACGATTATATTAACAAATATTAATGAAAGTGATTATGTGTTACATAAACGTCTTGAGATATAAGAGGAATATTGTAAATACGAAGGAATTCAAATGATTATGAAATTAGAATTGAAGACAAGGCAGAGTTGTTGGTGAGTATTAAATTAGATTATTAAATCGAACTGATAGTGGTTGGTGGGAGTGTGTGGTTCATCCTTATCATTCTTTTGCTTTTCCAGTCCCTTCTCTACTTCGCACCCTCTCTCTACTGTTTCTTCTTGACCTTCCATCGTCTCTCTTCTCTGCTCTCATACACAATCACACACCAACTCAAACTAACACAGATTCACACAAGCCCGACACGCAGTCACACACCCAGCAACAGTCCCTTCACAAAACCCACCAGCAGCCTCCTCATCAAACCCCACCACGGGGTACACCACCGGAATTCTCTCTCTCTCTCTTCACAAAACTTAGCCACGGCCTCCCACAGTCTACAGAGGGACCTAGTGAGCTCACATCGCCTCCGCCTCCCTCCAGCATCTCTCACTCAGATCGCTCATCACTCTTAGGCCGCATCTCACTTAGATCGACACCAGGTATGATCTATATGCTCTCTCTCCCTCTTTAGATAATGAAAAAATCATTTCAAACATGCCTCTCTGTCCTCAGATCCCATCTGTCCTCTTTCTCTGGCATATGTCCTTCTTTCTCTCGCATCGGTCCTTTCTCCACTGGATATAATAGGAGTTATAGGCGTTGTTTAAGACATGGTTGAATAGAAGTGTGCTTTTCCGTATAAATTAGAACTTTAAAACTAAGATTTCATTACTATGTATCCTGTTGATAGCTGCACAGTAAGTGAAGCTGGTGGTTATTGCAGATTCCAAACCATTGGAAAAATCTAGTCTTGCTTGCTTATCTTCTCTCTTCTTTCCAGTTCTTTCTCCTACTCTCCAAATTTAGCTTCCCGACTTGTATCGGAGCCAATTGCTTCAAAATCCTCAAAGTAAAAAGTTTGTGGTTGTAGGATAGGGTTCTGATTCTGATTCAACGACTACGGCGCAACACAGTTTAAATATATGCCCCCTCAGTCACCAGGTTATGAAAGAAAGCCTCACTTGGCGTTAATATATTTGTTTATTAGCAGATATTATTTTATGGTTTTTATGATTTATGTTTCAGCATGAGATTAAATGTTTGTTTCTATTCAATTGTAGGCTTGCTTCTTGAAATGGAAGTTCAATTGGTATGAGAGGAATAGGAAAATAGGTATGAATTTTTAGGCTTATTTGTTTGATCAAATCTGTTGCATTTTCTTTCAGTGATGTTTGTTAATAAATGCGGTTTTTGTGTCTGCTTTATTAGGGCTAGCTAGCTGGGTGAAAAATACTATACATGATAGTTGGTAGCCTATATAGTTTGGTTGATAAACGTAAATTTCAAATTTGATCGTTAATGTTTGCAGATGTGATTTTGCTAATGTCATTATCTTAATTATGGAGTTGGATTTGGATCCTTTTATTTTTAGTGCAACTATAACTAGTTTGTGGTGTATTTGGTGGTGGGTATTCAGACCTAATGAAAAATGATACTTCTCATTTGGTAATGTAAGGATTCTCTTTGCAAGCAACACATAGGGAGCTCTGTGTATGCTCTAATTTGGCTTTTTGTTGTTTTTGTAATTTCAGTTGATCATCCACGAATCATCCTTATACTTTGACCCAACTATTGACTAATTTATTACAAAACTTCAATTGCAAATCGTTCCTAAATTTGATTGTCTATAAAAAAATCTTTCCTAAATTTGATCGTCTATAAATTTCATGCCCTTGTCTCGCTATCCTTGATTAGTTTCAATGTTTATACTAATAGTGTTTGCCCAAGGAAAGTATTTTTTACATTTAGTTGTTTTTCCCTTCACCTTAAATGATTGGAACATAATGTTTGGTTTGGTTAGTTGTTTTTCTAGTTAGATAGCTTCCATCTAAAGAGGACGAGCTTACAACCTAGTAATTCGTGCTCCTAATATCATAACACCCATAGTCACCACTACTGAAATTTTGGGAACTCTTCACCCTTTACCTTCTGTCCATGGAAAACCTACAGGGTTAAACAAGGAAAAAGATAAAGGTTAGGAATGGAGAGGGGTTTGATTTACTACTTACTCCGAAATTAAATTCTATATTTCAATATGTTTAGATCTAAGCTTACTATTGAGGTATAGTACATCTCGTTACCAGCCATTTTCGTCCAATTAGATAAAGGCTAAATGAATTTGAGTTTGACAACAAAATGTGGTATTGATCTATGAAGGATTGGTCATAATCATTCTCTAATATATGAGTTTAACAAGAATTGCAAGCCAGGGGATTGGTTACGGGATGTTATATACATCAATTGTAAATTTTCATGTTAACATGCTAAAACATAGAAAAGTGGCAAGACAAATCCCTCTCCATGCTTGACTTTTATCTTTTTCTTTGTTTACCTGTAGTTGTATAATAGGCTTGCCATGGATAGATGGTGGGTGAAGATTTCCAAGAATCAATTAGACTTTTATTCAATACTTTTCTAGATTATTTTTTTGTATTGTTCAGTGACCTAATTGCCTTTTTTGATCAAGCACCATGCCTTAGTTAAGATATTTTTAGTTTTTTTTTTAATTCTTCCTTTTAAATTTTTTTCTTGTACTTACCTATTTTATCCTTCAGATTTGATTTGGTAGAGCTCCTAAAGAAGGCACATTAAAGTTGCTCGAGGTAGTGACTCAAATTTATTTTATTCATTTTCTTCCTTTGAGTTTTTGATTTAACCTTTTCTTTAATGATATTGTAGGATGATTGATTGCACTGTTGTGCTTGTTTTTTTTCAAATCTTAATATTGAACAAATATCATGGGTTACAACAAAAAGGTATATTTGGCTGAAGACGGCAACTCATTTCTTCGATGAAGTGGTTTGTTTATCAACTGCTGTACTTTAGAAGTTCAGACGGACTACACAAGGTTTTCTTCATTGTTTTGTTTTATATTTTTATTATGCCGGGGGATAGATATATTTTGTGGGTCCTTTATATTGCTATGTGGTGGTGTAAAATTCACGGGTCTTGCTCCTCTACGGTAAGGAGGTAATCGCTTGACATGCGGTTAAGTGAAACGACGTCGTTTAACTGGTTTTTACAATTTTTTTTTTATTGACCCTTACCAAAATGACGTCGTTTTGGTCTGGCTAAAAATCACATCTGAAATCCTTCTCCTACCTTCGGCTTCATCAGACTCAAGCGCTCCTATCTCTCTCTCTCTCTCTCCTCCTACCTCCAGCGGCAAAAAGCTCCTGCCTTCTTTCCCTTTCTCGCTGATCGCTGAGGAGTATCTAAGCTTGTGTTGCTATTTTGGGTTATTGATTTTGCGAAAATGGACCTAATTTTAGATTTTGTGGATTAAATGTAATATGAGATTTAGTTTGTGCTGGGTATTCCCCAACGATCAGTGAGAAAGGGAAAACTTGAGAGGGAAATGTCCATTTGGGTTGATTATTAGATATTTGGCTCCTCTACGGTTATTGATTTTGATTTGCGAAAAATGGATCTATTTTGGGTTATTGATTTTGAATGCACTAGTTAGGATGAAAATTGAAGTCAGTAGATTAATGTTGTCCATCCCTTTGTTTCTCAATAGGGCAAAATGTCCCTAGAAATTTGGCTCAATATGAGATTTGGTTTGAGCTGTTTTTATTTTTTTAAAAATGTTATTGTATAGCACTTGTAGGAATCAAGTGAAGGTTGTTCTATGTGAGAGTCCTTGATCTTTGTGCAGTTAGAATTTGTATATTTTCTTGAACCGTTTTATAATCACATCATTTTGAGCTATTCTACCATTGTGCTGAAAAATAAATTGTCCCATTGCCTTGGTGATTGCTTTAAGGTATCATCTTGCATTGGTCTTGTCTGAGTCCATCAATATGTGTCACTGTGTTCTTAAAACCGTTGATTTGCATACAGTTCTGGTTAAATTACCTATATTTTGGCTCCAGGGGTTTTTTAGTGTCAACTGTTTTATTTTGCATTCACCAATTCATGGTAAAATCTAATTATGGTTTCTGTCAATGTAATTTGTTAGGAATTTATTGCTTTGTTTATATGCTTTTGATCTGGATTTTTCTTACAAGATGTTGCTTTCTTTAGTTGATAAAACCAAAAAATTTAACCCTAAACCTACATGTGCATAAATTATCATATTTGCTTTTCCTTTTTGAGTGTATCCATTTTAGACAGGGGATGAACTTTTCTCATTTTAATTGACTATCAATTTTAACTGACATTTTGGTCTTAAACCTTTCTGGTAATTTTCGCCTATTTGTGGTCTTAAACCATTAGTCAAGCCCTCATTTTTGTATAGGTTTCTTATGCAATTGGATGCAAACATGGATCATTCATGACATACAACTATTCTGAAGTTCATCTTTTCAGATTTGGTTAATTGTTGGCTTCTGTTTTGTTGCTATGTTGCAATGTTTGCTGCAGCCTCATCAAGGTTGCTGCCATGTGTGCTGTTATGTTTGATGCTATGTTTGCTGAATATTTCTGTTGTGCTGAATATCATTATGCTGAATATATTGTTTGTGCTGAATATTATTATGTTGAATATATTGTTTGTGCTGAATGAATGGGTTGCTGCGTTGATGAATGAAGTTCATTATGGTGAAGTTTATACCAACATTTCTATACCAGCATTGCTATAATGAACTTAATGAATGTAGAGTGAACATTTTGTTATAATGTTGAGTTTTAATACCATTGTCCTTTCATATTTGTATTGTTGAAGAATGACATCTTCAAGCACGGCAACAAGCAACGACGAGTTAAGATATCATAATATGCATTGTTCAATTTATAGCAAAAGAGTGATTATTAACGTTTTTGAATCTGAAAAAATCTTGAGAAGTTATACTGCAAATGTCTAGACGATTCAAGTCACTTTTTTAAGTGAATGACTCTTATTACTCTTTCCTCTTCGAAAATTACAAATGAAAGGATGGATGTACGACGAATTAAAGACAATGTACGACGAATTGAACATGATGTAATGGCATTGAAGCTGTAGATTGACAAACTTTGTAATATAGTTTTAACGTGTTGAGACTAAAGGAGGTTCAATAAAGTCAAATATGTTTGTAGTTAAGTTACTAGTGGTAATTATTATATTTGTGATTCTAGTAAAGTAGAGTCGTAATAGCAATGACGTAGTAATGAAACTTGTGTTGTGAATGAATTTATGTGTTTAATTTGAATGAAATTGTGGATTTTGTATATTATTGTGACCTAGAAGATTATATTCATTAAAAAAGATCACATTTATTAAAATGATCGTATTCATAAAAACAAGATCACATTCATTAAAAAAGATTGCATTCATTAAAAAAAAATCGCACTCATTAAAAAAAGATCACTAAAATAAATGTTTATTAAATGATTCAACAAGCAATTAGTAGCTTTCATTTCCATTCTTATTACTGTTGATCCTCCAAGTATTTTTACAAGTTGTATCACTCATTTATGAAAAATTATTTAACATCATTTAAAGAATGCACATGTGTTAAAATCAGTCAGAGTATCTTACATTAATGAGGAGTTAGACAAAGAAACTTGATACATATGTGAAACAACAATAAGATAACATACCATAACACTTTGTATATTATTTGAAGTTTGAGAAAACATCGATTGACCATACGTTGATGTACACGGGTGATTGAAATCTTATACC